GGATTGCTTTCGAGTCAATGAGTCAATGCAATCAGCTGATTTTCCTTAGATAGAAAACTTTGGATCGATTTGACTGAATCTGGTTGAACTTTAAAGTGCCTTGAGATGACGTGTTGTGAAGTGGCGCTATAGAAATAAACTGAATTGAATAAATTCTAAAATTGATTTGCAAAATTCAGACCAAATATGATATCTTGATGTAGAACGACTTCTTATACCTCTCTTCAACTAAAACCAACATTGAAAGTCTATTGCAAAAATGAAAACTCCTAACTTTCAACATAAGGAGAACATAAAGCTCTATAAACTTAAAGTAGTTTGTATTTTTATAAAGACTGCCTGAATTCCTGGAATATTTTGTATTTCCACCCCCCAGAGGTACTTTTTTCTTCATACAGGCATAACTTATGGCTTAATAATAATGATGATAATAAGGATAATACTTTTTGTTAGTAATTGTGTTTAAAGCACCTTTCCAAACACCCAAGAAAAATATTCAACAATCACAATCAACAATATTAACTCATGGCAGGCAATCAGTGCAGGTCTGCGGTCCTGAACAGAGGAGGTAAAGTATCAGTATTAGGAATATAAGGTGGAGGTGAATTCTAGAGTTTGAATGCAGAGCAGAAGGTTTTAGCTGTTCTGAAAAATCCTGCAGTCTCTGACCTTTCAGAGGGTCCAATTAGGCCTGTCAAACCAACAGAAATCTCCTGAAACTGGTCAATTTGACATATTTATACAGACTCAGAAACTTATTAAAGACAGGAACAGACACGGTTTGGTGGGTTCAGGCTAATTGCTGGTCGTGTGACTCAGGCAACGGTGGACTGAGTACTCAACAGTATTGCTTGAGTAAAAGTACTGATACTCATAGTCAAATCTTACTCAACTACAAGTAAAAGTTACTCAGTCAAACATCTACTAAAGTGAAAGCATTGAAGTCCTGAATTTTGAAAATACTTAAGTATTCAAAAATACAAATTACATTTTTTTATATCAGTACATTTCTGTCTTACCCCCCCCAGAAAAAACTACTCAAGTAAATTAAGGATACTCAAGTACTTAAGTATAGTAATCAAGTAAATGTACTTAGTTACTTTCCACCACTGGACACAGGTCCTTGAATCGGTGTCTTTCCTGTATAAATGTACAACACCCATAACAGAAAAGGAATATTTTCAGTAAGTTTGCTTATCTATCATCCCTGACAATCAAACCAATGTACATTTAATAAATGTGATCAGGTGCATGTCCTCTCTGACAAGCACCTGATCAAAATTAGTGGGAAGAAATGACTCATCTATTTTGTTCAGTTTAGTGTTTGGTCTTTTCATCTGAACTCTAACAGTCCTACTTTCTTTCCCCTTTGATCTGTTAGTACATCAAGAACTTCTACAACCAAACTGTTTTAACTCGTAATGGGACAGGACTCAGTGGGGAGACCCTGACGCTCATGTACTCTCTAACGGTGTCGGTCTTTGCTATCGGAGGTCTGCTGGGCTCCTTCATTGTCGGTATGCTGGTCACTCGCTTTGGAAGGTAAGACTGGTTTATTAAACTGCATTTGGTGAAGTACTTTTAACTGAAATGATTATAAAATTGTTTAAAGTCGCAGGGAAATCATATTTAAATGTTAAATCACTTTACAAATACTGTCTGCAGACATCATAACATATACAACTCCACAACGATGAGGTGGATTTTTCCTGTGGTGTTTTATTGACTGCCTGTAATATTTATTTTCTGTTGGCAATTAAAAAGAGTAGGAATAAAAAAGGATTTCAGATTCTAGGGGACAAAAAGAAATCACTTGTGATGACTGCTTGATTATGTAAGTATGGCTAAAGGCACTTTCCTTATATGCAAAACCCTACCTTAGACCTTAGCAGACGAGGGTTATGGTGGCAACTCTGTCAAAAATAATACCTCTTTCCCACTGGCTGAAAAACCCATTTAAACCTGGAAACAATCAGCTTTTAATGGCAGTGAGAACAGCTCATTGATATGTGTGTACCTGGATCAAATGACTAGGCAAGTGACCCGAGTTAAAACTCCTCAGCTCTGTTCGGCATGCTGTAGGAACACCAGAGTCATGTTGACACGCTAAATTACATAACACCATTAAATGCAACGTACAGACGTCAACACATTGTGCCAGTCCCTTCTGATCTAACAAGCAGAAACAACTGTTTACATTGGATAAACATGGTACAGCTCCTGTAGGAGGGATTCAGACAGATAATAGAGAAAAACAATAATGCACACTGACTACGCCCTGGCTTCCTTACATGTTACTCTCCATTGTTTACTTTCCTGATTTCTGTCGTACTGGTGACAGAAACAAGGGGATCAGAAAATCTCTAACCTGTTAACTTAAGAAGACAATGACATCCCCATACTGTGACTGGGATGCAATACTTTCAGTGTTCACCAATCCAATTGAGGAATGCTGTTTCTTCAATCCAAGCGCAATAAAATATTGTTACATCTGAGGGTGAAAACGGGTCCAACTTGGTAGTAACATGTGGTACCAAATGAGGAAGCTGGAAAGCAGAGAGAATGCCACAATATTGAATGATTCTGGGGGTTTTTTTTCAGGAAGGGGACGATAGTCAAAACGACCATTCTGGTATTCATCGCTGGCTGCCTCATGGGTTTCAGCAGAATCTGTGGGTCACCTGAGATGGTCATTTTTGGCCGCTTCATCACAGGGATACATTCAGGTATGTACACCTGTTCTCGCCTTGCTTTGAGTCATAACCATCAGAGAAGACTCACATTTATTTTCATTAAACCCCTACTATACTCTAACTCAGTTTTTTCAGTTCTATAGCGCCAATTCACAACACATGTCATCTCAACGCACTTTATAGTTCACCAGATCATACAGTCAAATTGATTCAAAGTGAATTGCATCAACTCATTAACTCAAAGGCAATCCGTCACACTAAGCATTTTAGCCACAGTGGAGAGGAAAAACTCCCTTTTAACAGGAAGAAAC